ACTGGGCTGTATAATTACGGTGATAACGTGGATTAAAGATTTCTTGAGCATAAAAAAGATTTGAAGTAAACAATTCTTACAAATTAGATATTTAATCTATTGAAATATATCATGCAAAATAATTTTGTGTCTTCTTATCAGTCATATGCATGATTAAATTCGACTAACGAGTATCCTAACAAATGTTGATTGGATAGAATTTCTCAATATCGAAGTTGCCTTATGAGCTACTTTTGATTTATTTTTCATATTTACAATTATCTCAAATTTCGATTAATAGTATAAGCGAATCAAAAAGATGCAGATACCCAAAGGGGCTGATCGGGACGAGCCATCATGTGGGACCCAGATTAACCAACGTTCACCTTCAATCACAAGGCATACATGCATACAGTTAGTGTAGGTAAGCTACATGTTGATCACTAGGGCTGTAGGATACACATCATGTAACGTTCAAGAAGCTTACGTACATAGAAATTTGTAGCTGAAGTAGATGGCAGCATTTATTTGATGTCTACCAAGACAAAAGACTAAGTTGAATCTCTTGAAATCCAAATCGTAGAGGAGAAATCTACGGTGTGTCAAGCTTTGCCCTTATTCACAGTAAACAAAATTTCATGTATTATTTTGATGATATCCATTATGTAAAAGAAATAGCAACAATAAACCTACCACAAGTTAAAATGATGGTTGCACTCGAGTCCAAAACACCAAATCCTACCACAAGAAAATAATACTTGAAGAACAAGATAAGCCACGATGACAAAAAAGCAATTCTGTTCTTAGGCTACACGGCATGGCATACGACACACTGAGCTAATACCGTCTTGGTACCCAGCAGACAAGAAGACAAACAAAATACTCATTCTGCAAATGTAAATGCTGAAGCACAAGTCACCAAGGTTTATGAAACTAATAGGCTACACTAAGACACAGCACCAGTCTTACAGGGGAACGGGTGGTTGTGACGGTCACAGATCCATAGATGCTAGCATTTGAAGCCATGGCATATGGACAAAACTATGATAAGAATTAGCGCAATAATTATGCCCAAGACGATCAGCTTAACCTTCATATTCTGTAGCCACATTTTCCTCCTCATCTTTGTCCCTTGCTGTCTAAAATCCTGTGCCTGTGTTACCAAACAGCAGATATCCATCGTATTTAAGAATCTCATCAGAGAAAGTTGACAGATACTGTGTGCTAAGAAATAGATAGCACGGCTTTGACAAGAAACCAACATCATGATAAGTTTGGTTTGCATACCTGGGAGCGAAGGTTCTCTGTCTTGTCAACAAGCAACTCAATTTTCTCCCCACGGTCAAGAACCTAAAGAATCAAGAAAGACGATCAAAAGAAAAGCATCGATGATGCCACACCACTGTACAAAAGTAGCATGCCAAGCATGAACTTTACAAATAGATGGTAACGATTACACACCTTCTCAATGTTTTCCATCATAACTCCTTTGACTTCAGAAACCTGAGCCTTCACCTTGGCAAGCTTGCTGATCTCTTCGGAGTGATCTACACAGTACTGCATCTGCTCTTTAAGCTTGGACCTGGTATGTTTGTAAGAGATTCGTTATTAAACATGCTTAGACAATGAGAAGGATGAACATTTAAGTGGTCATCAGGAATTAGTACCCAAACTCGCGGCTGAGGCTATTGGCTGAGGCCGTTGCAGCTTTTCCTCCTCCATATCTTTTGTTGAAGTCCTCCTTCACCCTGTCCAGGAAGCCAATGGGAATTTGCCTGCCAACTGACTCAACAGCAACTACACAATATGCTGCAAGATTCACGACTTCACTTAAGATCCAGACTAAAACTTAAGATTCTCACTTAAATTCTAAAATATTACTTGTCGATAAGATAAATGCATATTCATTGCACGAGAATAAATATATAGTGGCTCTTGGACCATCATAGTTATTGAATCTCAAGAAGCTAAGGGACCTTCGCTAAGAAGCAAAATGGCACGACAACGAGTCTTCCAATCAAGTTAAAGGTACACATAATGGAAGTCCATGAGGAATTAGACCCAACAGTATTCCCTTGAATCATATTTACCAGGAAAAGAAAAATCAAAATACATGTCCCAAAGATGAACACTGGGCAAACTATAGGATTTTACCCAGTTTGTGAACCTTCCCACAAAACTGTCCAATGTCCATGCTTCCATGTAGTAATACAAAAGACCATAGATGCACTTGGTGCTGCAAATAAAATTCACTTAGATATGATATTGATTCTCATACAACAAATTGGTCAATGTTTCCAAAACATCTAAAGCACTAGAAATATAGACCACCCACTTCACCATCCCAGTAGAACAAAACATGACATCTAATAAATATTAAACAACTGCTTATATCAGCCAAAATTGTGTTATTCTTGAAAGCCAAACCTAGATTTGACCACTCTATGACAGCGACCAACTTCCCAATGGTTCACTGATTGCACTGGAGATACATGACTAAAAGGTATTCCAGCAATATTTTCAAAATAAGATTCTGATCCTAAAAGATCTGTTTACTAGCTATTGATTCCAAGTTAATGAACTTTAAACATACTAGGATGCACAATAATGAAAATTGACTTTATCATAAATAGAATTCTGAAACAGTTATGGGAAGCATACTCAAGAAATATACATTCAAACTAAATTAGTAATAGCACACAACATTTCCAATGCATCCCACATTGCTCATGCCATGATCGGGCATTTGGGCATCAATTAGTTGGCATGACAATGAGTTACTTTCTAAAAGTAAGATATTAAGAGGCCTAACTCTATAAAAATACATTTTAAAAAAATCATGGTATCAAAGGTAATATTTGTGTTGGTAACCTTCCACAGGCCAAGAACAAGTCATGTGAACACGAATTTACCATGATATTGTTCCTTCAGATAAAAGACTGACTGAAATCAACAATGGCAACGTTTTAACTACATAAAATGTATGATTACTTACAAATGGTGGCCGGTGGTAGATGACAACATTTGAATCATCTAAGCTAAAGATAGACAAGGAACTCTCAAACAGATGTCAAAACCACAGGTAAGTTCTTAGTTACTGGTGAAGGCACGATGGAAGTCTGAACTGACTTGTAACTAAAGAAAGAAAAAAAGAGCAGGAATCTCCACCTGAAAAACCATTCCTGGTAAATTTCCAATCAATACTCCAAACCTTGGCAAAGACGCAAACATCAATTACACCTTTATAATGGGCATAAACAAGGTAAAAAATACAGACAATCTACTAGTCATTATCAATAATACAGATTATAAAACAAAAAAGACATTAAATAACACCTTTTTGAAACAGATTTACCTAAACTTCCATACTTCAACCAATGCCATAGTCTAATAGAAACACATTTCTATGTCCAATTAAGCATGTCTAACACAAATGAAATGTGATGCCTTTATATTAGAGAGTGCATTCAATCGACCTTCTCTAGATCGTCCAATTCACTATTTAGATCTTGCAGTTCTGAATCAATTTACTCTTAAGTGATACTTCTACTGCTATTCATCAATCTCAACAAGCAAAAAGGGACAAAATTTTCCTTGCAACTGAATATAATTTGCCGATCCAATGGCCACTATAAAAACATCCTAACCAACGCTAACAATAAGATATTTACAAGAAGAATCATCTCCTGCTCCATTCGCTATTCCCACTAGATAGAAATGTACCCAAATCAACCGAAACCGGTACTCACTTAAAGCCCATCCTTCAATAAGACGAACAATCAAAATATCAGAAGCGGCAACGAATCCCCTAATTGCTCCAGAAACATCACGATATTGAAGAAGTGAAATCCTAACCTCATGAAACCCTAGACAACCCCCAAATCAATCAGAACATGCACTCCCCATCCCAAACCCATCAATCCGCACCCCACATCTTCCGGCACGCCAAAACCACGAGGACGATCGACCGAGTCAAGCAGAAACCCTCGACACTCAGGATCGAGATCCAAGACACTCACTATATCCGTCCTCGACGAGGTAGTTGAAGGTGTGCCCGTCACAGTTGTAGGTGAACTTATTGTTGCTAGCGGGGAGCTTCTGCAGGCACTGAGCGGCGATGCTGTTGAAGTTGCCCGAGAACTCGGTGTACTCCGCCAGGATCACCGTCCCCCGCGCGACGAAGCTGTAGATCAGCGACTGCTGCCCCATCTCCCGATCCCCGATCACACCCCACCCCTTGATCGACTGAAGCGAGATGGAGACAAAGAGACGCCGATCTCGGCGACGACGGAGAGAGGAAAGAATCCAAAAAGTGCCTCCTATTCCCTCCTCCAGACTGGAAATGATAAGCGAAAGGTTTATTTATATCTAGTGAGTGTGTAGTAATATTATAATCTTTGAGGAGATAAATAAAAAATTCTTATTTTCTTATTCTTCCTTTGCTTTTATTGTACTACAGTCCTTGTACTTTATTATAATCTAAAACCAGTCCACAGCACAATATTGTTGTACCCGACGTTAATAACAAGAACTAATTTTGAAAATATTGTGGGGTCATATGGAAAGTTTGTAGAACTGAGGGCGCCATTTTGAGTTTTGGTGAGGGTGTAAATGGAAAGTTGAAAACGAGTTCTTTCACTAAAGTCCTCATTATTTTTTAATTTAATTAAAATATAATTTTTATGATAGTAAAATATCTATATATTACGTTAAAATGTGTGAAGTAGTAATCAGAATTAAGCTAAGCATCACCGATCATTATGTCGAGAAATTCCAGTCTAATCGAAATAAACTTAAGTCTCGTATCTCAATTTAGATTTCAGGTGCCTTTGTACAAATACGAGAAATAGAAGGACTGAGTTAAAAACTTAACTCTTCTTATCTCTCATTCTTCGCTGAGCGACGCGTACTCCCTCTGTCACGTACTTATTGTACGAATACACGAAAGAAAAGGACTGAGATGAAAAATTACCAGTATTTTTAGCTCCCCTTTTTACTTCACTGATAGCGAAGTGAAACCCCTCACTGCCTTTCTTTAGCTCCCTTCCATTGACTGCAGATCCGATCCAACCTTTCCCCCTTCGATCGATCGCACGCTCTCGCGGCGTCGGCTCCAAGTTTAGTCGATATTCCCGCGATGGATCGGGCGTCTTTGTCGTCGCTGGGGCCAGAGATGTGTCCCTTCCCCATGGTCGGAGCGCCGCCGCCCCTGGGGCCCGTGATCCGGCGACTGGGCGGAGGCGCGCCGGCGGAGGAGTCGGCGGTGACGGATCAGAGCGGGAGGAACAGCAAGGGGAGGAGGAGGAAGAGGGATTCGGTTGCGTCGGACGATGAGTCCTCCAAGCTTGCCTCCACTAGCGGTGGCCAGGGCTTGGTACTTTTTCCACCATTTGTGTGATTTCTCGTGTAACTTGTTTGTTGGGGCTCCGATCTATCTCTCATTTGGTTCGATTGATGTTTGAATTGGTTGAAAGTTACGATCTTAGACCAATAGGAATAATGTCCTTCAAAAAATCTAGTTTTTAGTAACCTGCTGTGAATTTGATTGCCTGATCTTGGTTGCATAGTGATAGATGAGAAATACGTCTCTGCATGTATGTATTTACGAGCATTCAAATATTGAACTCAAGTTCAAATTAGATTCTTGCTTATCGGTAACTTGCACTTGCTGTCCTTGTACGACAGATTAGCCACTAAGTTGCATGGTTCTTTAATTAGTGATCTCATTATTGTTCACCATTCTACATGTTTGAATTTTTTAATGTGTTATTTATGCACGAATCAGTATGATAAGAACAATATCCACTTGGATAAGCTTTAACTTTTTCCATGTTGTAGCCTCAGCTCTTGTCCTAAGTTTCTCAATTTTAGATGACTCTTTCTGTATATCTAGCTTTGATTGTTTGAGATTAGGTATATGACGTAACCTCGCAGTTGCTAGATTACTCCACAAAGTGTTAAATCTATTCAATTGCAGAAGTAAATTAGATGGAAAAGATATTAGATTTGTGTTGACAACACAGCAGAAGAAACACAAATAATGGACAATTAGAGGAATAAAATGACTAGAAAAAGAAGTGGGCAAGCAAGGCCGTTCTAGAACAAAACACTCTTTTAACCTCAGTTATCATGGACATTTTAGAACAGAACACTCTTTTAATCTCAGTTGTCATGTAGATAAATCTCAGTAATCCCAGTGATCATCTGGACAGACGGGCAGGTCCCCGTTTGACAGACTGATAGACACATTAAGATTACCCTAACAGGACTCTGTAGATGAAAGTAAACTGAAGAGATCTACAGAGAGATGCAATTAGACTTACCAAATAGATTTCTTAAATATTAACTAAACTTCGAATGGGACTCCCGTGGACAACCAGCTGAAATATTTAGACAACAGCTGGTCTATGATTCAACCACTATTATTAATCTTCCATGGAACTAAACCAAACAGTATACTTGACCACTATTTTCTGTAGGCGTCATTTCAAGAGCTTGCAAATAAATCTTTTAAACTGTTACCATCCAGCTCAAGACCTAGGGCATTGTACTTTTTCTTTCTTTTTTGGTTTTTCATTACTGTTTGAATCTTTTGTTCTTTGTAGATGGATAATGAAACTAAGCGTCTCAAGGCCATGCACACTAATGAGATTGGCAGTATTAAAACTGAGGTTGAGGCATCTTCGGGCAACGGTAACAAGATAATTGATCAAAATCCTGGAACATCTGAGCCACCAAAGCATGATTACATCCATGTGAGGGCAAGAAGGGGTCAAGCAACAGACAGCCACAGCCTGGCTGAAAGAGTAAGTATGCTTCATGCTATGGCTATCTTATTGTATTATGTTATAATCTCATCCTTGGAGTTTACATCAACACACCTCGAGGTTAATTTCTTTAAATGTTGACAGCTATGATGAGGACAGCACGGAGTTATTATCATGCTTGTTCTCACTAGAACATACATGACACATGAAATTAGACAAATCCAATTGCCCACATGTACCTGCTAGATTAGCACTGTTTAAATGTCAAGCACAGGATTCCAGGGTGTTATTTTGCCATAAAAATCACCATTCCAGCCATCATATAATTTAATTACATTTGTTGGTAGGCGAGGAGAGAAAAAATAAGTGAGCGAATGAAGATTCTCCAGGATTTGGTGCCAGGATGTAACAAGGTTTGCTGTTAAGATTTCCTTATATATTATTTTGCCAAAAAATATAGACTATGTGCTGCTTGATATCATACACTTGAGAAGAATTGCTTGGTTGGTGTTCTTTATTCTTAATACAGAACTATCACATAAGCAGGTAATTGGCAAAGCATCAATTCTGGATGAGATAATAAATTACATCCAAGCACTGCAGCACCAGGTTGAGGTATGCACATTCCACTGTTTGATACTGTCAATTGTCTAATTTTGTTATGAACCACTTAGGCCTTTAAATCTTATTTTGCAGTTTCTATCAATGAAGCTCGAAGCTGTCACTTCTCATGTTAATTCTGGCTTTGAATTCTTTCCTCATAAAGATGTAAGTTGAATAATGAAAATGAAACAAAATTTATTAGCTTTTTTTGTAGTTTGTATGCATGATTGGCTTATGTTTTAGTTTGTGTGTATGGTTGATTATTTTTTGAAGTACCAGTAGATTACTGGTCTTCAGTGCTCATGGAAAAAACATTTCGGGACAGAGCTTCTGGTTAATTAACTGCATTTCGGGGCAATTGCTATATGCAATGATTGCATATGCAATTGCTAAACCTGGGTTAATTGTTCTGTGGAGGAATGCAGATTTCGTGGTTGGGTATTCCGTATCGTCAAACCATGTAGCATGGACATTGGTTTAGCTCATCACTGGTCATTTTGTCTCCATTTCCTATGGACCACCATCACAGGGGGCACATAATGTCATCATGTTTGGATCTAAGGATTTTTTGCACATCTGAAAATATATCCGACGACATGAAGCCACGTTTCAGTATGCTCTATGTTTGTCATTTGTGCAGTTTAGTTACCCTTCTTGTCTGAAATGCTGTGCCTGCCTTGCTTGTGGATGTGTCTGCCTTTTGTGTTACTTGGCATGATAAATTTCTCTGTTCTGCTCTAATCTCTTGCTTTGATTCACAAAATATAGCTAATACATGGCTTCTAAATTTCAGTTTGGTGCTCAGGCATACGATACTGCTTCTAGTTTACCATTCAGCTCACAGGCAGCAAGGGAATACGAGCAAGGTTCAGCAACAGAATGGCTTCATATGCAGGTTGGTGGTGCTTTAGAGAGAGTGACATAATTCCGGTACACCTCTTACATGGGCAATCAGTACATACAAGGATGAATCAAATCCATGGGTTTAGGTTATTCATCTCTCCTTGTGTTGATTTAAGCGAATTCCGAAATCCAACTGAAGGCATTATGCCAGTAAGGTGATGCATCAAAACAAAGTTTGAGTAGGTTCCATCGCGTAGAACTGGATGAGGTAATTTTACTTTGTTCATGCCCCTTTATGAGATTCTCCAGTGACTGTGTTATCATGTGAAATAGCTAGTGGATTGGTGACATCCCAAAGTAATTTTGTTTCCTGTTGCCAAGATTCTATGACAGTTAATAAGATGCCTGATCAATGCTTTCCATATCTCTTGTGTAGTCTCCTAGTTTTCTGGTGAAGTATCTTGATCTCTACTTCTTCCACTGTCATCCCATGTGAGCTAAATCAGTGTCGGATGCATGACAATGTTTCTATTTAGGTTATCATTTAAGATGGTTGGACTTAGAATACTTCAATTGCTAGTTGTGTTATGACCAGCAAATACATCTTGCAGCCAAGATTAAAGTTTAATCTCTTTCCGAATCCTGACTCCTGTTACATTTATTGATGTTACTAACATAAGCATGTGAGCATTATTTTGATCTCATGAATTGACCAAGAGCTATACTGATGTTGCTCATGTCAGCATGATGCTTAATCAAGTAATAGGCACGGAAACCGAAAGTCAACTTGCTTAGAAATATTCACGTCCATTTGTTGACCGTAGTAGTTGACCTATGAAAACATGAGACCATGTTTTCTCCCACATTTGTACTTAAAGTGATCAAACAAACTACTCACTTGTTCTCAGTTTTAATCCTTTGTTATGCAATCATTCTGATCTTTGTAGATAAAATGATAATAATAACTTGCTCACTACTAATTCATCCTTGCTATGACCTCTCGCTTCAGATGGGCATCGTCGGGTCACCACCTCAGTCCCATCGTGTCCAGCTTCCGCTCCGTCACGTTGCCTCTGTCGCCCCTCTCTCTCTCGATTCTCCCAGCTTGTCTCCGTCCATACGACAATGAACATTTTGGTGGGCACGACGGGTTGGAGATAAGGTGGGAGAGTTATGGGAGGGTGATGACAGAGACAGACGGGTTGAATTAAGACAGACGGCGTTCGACAATGCTCGCCCCAGAGAGATGACACACTGGTGAGAAGTACCAAAGAGTCTTCTTGGGTAGCCACCAGCAAATCGCTCAAAGCTAAATTCCGGCACGCAAACTCCTATACCTATCTATTATTCTGAGCACTAGATACCAAAGTCAATCGGCGCCACCTACCACCAACTCCAACTACAATAATTGAATTGCTGTGACCACCTTCTTCACTATCCTGCAATACATCGGGAGGACTCGAATCCGTTCCCCACCTTCTCCTCCCTTGGGCGGACGAAGAACAAGAAGACGAGGCGATTATGGCGAAGCCACCGACATCCAAGACGGCGGAGCTGGACACGACGCTATACGCCATCGGCTTCGAGATCGACGTCGTCTCCGCAGCTAGGGTCAACGGCCGGCTCACCGTCACCGAGAGCTGCTGCCAGGTGCGCGCGCCGCTGTCTCCGACTGCTGTTGTGCTTGATTTTGGATTTGTGATGGGGTTGGGAAGTGGTGGCAGCCGTTCAAGGTGCTCCACGGCGGCATATCGGCTCTGATAGCAGAGGCGCTGGCGAGCATCGGGGCGCACATCGCGTCCGGGTACCGGCGGGTGGCCGGGATCCAGCTCAGCATCAACCACCACCGCAGCGCCCGCGTCGGCGACCGCGTCTTCGCCGAGGCCACCCCGCTCCACGCCGGCAAAACGATTCAGGTCCTCCGCCTCCTCCCCCTCCCTCCTCCCTCTTCCCTCTTTCCCTCGTTGGAAAGGAAGACACAACGACACCGTCATGGGACCCACATCAGTGTGCTCGCGGGAGCGTGACCCGCATGCCAATCACCACGCGGGTAGGTGTCGCGTAGACGAGCATACCGGGGACGGGTACGTGGGAGGAAGCGAGCACGATTGCCTCTGCACCTGTCCCCAAACAGATGCTGAGAAATCGTGATCGTGGCTTCCACGTGGCGACATCTTAACGGCTGATAAAGGGTCGATTCATTCTTCCCATACCTTTGTGTGGTTAAAATGCCGTTGCGGAGTTGTCGCCTACCAATTTCGGGCGCCTGTTGCGGGGTCCATCTGTTACGCCAATCGCGAGGTCGGTTGGTAAGGCTAACCGTGAATCATAGGGAAAAATAATGATGGGTTCTTGTCGCTCCCGTATCCGTCCCAAACGATTAGCGCGTCCTATTTTTTGACCTTCGAGTATATATATACATATATACATGGATATGGTACACAAATCTTAGGAGCATCTCATATTTGAATAATGAAAATTAAGCATCAAAACCTTATGTGGCTTAAGATGTTGTAGTGTTTTCTTTAGGTATTGACATGTATACACATATATAACTGCAAATAATGTCTTATATATACACTAGATACTTAATAAACTATCCTGAAGGAAACACTTGCATATAAAACACACAAGTGCAGAGACAGTCCATTCTTAAATTGGTGCTAACTTAAGCCCTTGGAGATTTGGTATGGTAGCATTCCTGAGGTGAAGTTTCTGATTGTTTTAGGGTTATAGTTTTGCCATTGAAGGCTTCATTTATGTGTACTTCAGTTAGATAACATTAAAGACCTGATCTTGATTGTTGGCTATTATGATTAATCTGAATTTGTAGGATGCCATTTTTCAGTTTCTTTTTGAATATTCTTGAAAGTGTTTTTTATGTTACTGAAGTAAATTGCATGGCAATTTTGAAATGGGTGTGAACATACTTGTTTGATGTTTCAATTCAGGTGTGGGAGGTCCATCTATGGAAGATGGATCAGGCTGGCTCGGAAAAGGGGATCCTAACATCCTCATCAAGGATCACTCTTCTAGCAAACATGCCTGTGCCAGACAATGCAAAAGATGCAGGAGAACCCTTGAAGAAGTATGCCAGGCTATAAGCTCCAGCTGCATGTACAAGTTGTCACCAATGGATGCAAACCCTACTGCAACTGTAGTTTCAGTTTCAGTCTGCTATTCAGGTGTCCTCACTCCAGGCTACTTCATACATGCAACCACAAAAATGACATCTAAGATGTATTATGGACATTAATGATATCCCAATGCTAAATAAATGACCTTATTACTTGTTGTATTTATTGTTAATTGTCATGCAGTCTTTGATCTCACAGATCTGTCAGGTTCTTCCATTCATTCATTCAGATTTGCAGGAAGGCTACAGGCAAAGCAAACTGCCTGTCCGATTGTGTCCAATATGGGTTTTGATCCTATCCAACGCTATGTTTTCTTGGAACAGTCCGTCCTCCTATCCTAACCGTCCATTGGTAAGAGGCCCCTGTTGCGATCATGGTCGTTGAACGACCGTCGGTGGAATGCTTGGAGGTGATCGTAGTCGATCCCGATAAAGCTCCCGCAATTCCCGGAAAGTCAACGGCCAGCGTTCTATCCGAGAGAAGGCGAGTCAACGACCATTTCTCGCCGTCCCTAAAGGAAGTCGATGCGACGGGGTAAATTGGTGAACTCGGTCCCGACTTAGGTAGCTAATCTTACGCGCTTCATCCGTCTGCTGAGGATTTCCTGTTTGTTGTAAGAACACGGTATCGTCTTGTTTGTCCTCGTTCCCGGTGGGCCCGTTCACGTGTTGTGAGAGCAAAAATTCTGGGCTGTGGCTGGTGCGAGACAGCATGATGGCTTACCTTTTCGGCTTTGTACTCGTTCTCGCCAAGCAATAAATGAACGCGAGTTCGCGGCCTCCATCGATCTCCGTCGTCTGGAATTGAAATCGATGAATTGATCGGTTTCGATTTCAGAAGTTGGATACAAGGCATTGGGATTTGTTGATGGAGTTCTTCGCCCGGGCGAAGGCGGTGCGGTTGCGGAGCCACCACGACAAGTACCTGGTGGCGGACGAGGACGAGGAGCACGTGACGCAGGACCGAGACGGCACCTCCCGCGGCGTCCGGTGGACGGTGGAGCGCGTCGACAGCGTCCCCCACGTGCTCCGCCTCCGCAGCTGCTACGGCCGCTACCTCACCGCCTCCAACGAGCCCTTCCTCCTCGGCGTCACCGGCAAGAAGGTCTCACAGACCCTCCCCGCTCGCCTCGACTCCTCCCTCGAGTGGGAGCCCCTCCGTGAGGGATCCCAGGTCAAACTCAAGACCCGCTACGGCAACTACCTCCGCGGCAACGGCGGCCTCCCCCCGTGGCGCAACTCCGTCACCCACGACGTCCCCCACCGCACCTCCACCCAGGATTGGATCCTATGGGACGTTGACGTCGTCGAGATCCTGCCCCAGCCTGCCCGCATACCCAACCAGCCCGTCAGTGCATCTTCTGCCGTCTCCTCCTCGTCGGCCTCTTCCTCCAGATTGTCCAGTCTAGAGGTCGATTTGCTGCTTTGCTATTCTTTTAATTTGATGAATCTATGCAGATATTCGTCCTTTCTTATGGTGATTATGATGTCATCGAATTGTTTGCATTTGTGATCGACAAGAAGTTATTAATTTGCTCCCTTCTTTATTTATTGGTCAAAAGTAGAGCATCCTTGCTTATTGTGATTGTGATGTTCTCAAAGTATTTGCATCTGTGATGGAAGTGAGATTTTTCACTTTGCATCTGGATTGAAAAGATTCGCTTTTATCTATTTATTGATTGATGCGGAACATGCTTTTCGTTGTGATTGTGATGTTCTCGTATTGTTCAGACTTCAGAGTAGTGATGAAAATGTGATTTTTAATTTGCTTCCAAACTAAAAAAATTGGCCCTTTCTTTTTGTTCATTAATATAGAGCTTTCTTTTTGTTGTGGCCATGATGTTCTTGAATTGTTCAAATTAGTGTTCAAAATGATATCTCTATTTTCCTCCCAAATTTCCTGTGGTTCTCTTTCTCTAGATCTAAATTTACAGAATCCATTGTCAAAAGTCATGATGTCTAGTTCTTGAAAGTGTTACCGAATCTGCATGTCTTGCTATTTCTTAAATGTATTTATTGATCTAATATTTCCTAAATGTTAACTGCTCCAGGAATCATCCATTGTCTTGTTTTAGATCTCAAATTTACTATTTTAATGCAATGCCTGCTATTTAGATGTTAAACTAGCTTGTTTCTTTTTGTTGTTTTGATTATCCTAATTATTTTAGTGCTTCAAGAGTCAAGTGCCTGCACTAATCATACTGATAGATTAGTGCTTGCTTTTGAAACCCCAAGCATAAAACTTGAAATTCCTTCCTTCTGCAGTCATCAGATTCTTTTTCTGGTCCGCTGCACAAGGTGGAAGGTCGCAGTATCTACTTCACTGTCGCAGATGATAATGGAAATGTGGATGACAGTGTTGAGTGGCCTCATGTGACTTTCATTGGGACAAGCGTACCTGAAGTGACACAGAAGTTGAAAGAGGAAACAAAGCTTGATGACATAATTGTGTGCACCCGGAATCCATTGAACCAGCACCTGATTCCTCTTTATCTGCACTTACCACCAAACAACACGACAATGCGGCTTGTTGTGGTCGATGGCAATTCGAAAGGTGAGTTTGTCGAATTTTCGAGTTGTACTGCATTAAGCTGCACTTTTATGTTATGCATATTTTATTTAGTTTTCCTTGCTCAGTTAATCTGTGCTCACAGTGGATTTGCAAGCTTGTTAGATTGTTAATTGCTAATGCATCAGGCACACCTTTTATGCCCCAGGAATTGTTTTATATCCTACAAAAAGATTATTTAGGCTCTTCATGTGTCGCTGCAGTTTCTTTTGATATGATGTTCATTTGATAGGGACCTTTTTCTTGCTTGATATTAATAACTAGAAATATTTTTTCCGATGTTAGAATTTCTGTATTTGTTTTCATGAGGACCAGAGTAAATTTTGTTCATCACCCATAAATGACACAGTTGTCAAATTTGTTGATTAACTTGTGTCTGGTTGTTGAAATATCATATCCGATTGATCAGTAGTTATGGATGGTAGATCATGCTTAGACATTATCCTTGCCTGATCGCACTTTTTGCAGCCTGTGGTGGATATAAGGCAGATATATGGGGAGCGATTGTATAATCTTAAATGTCGTACTTGGATTTGGACTGCTTCAAACCAGCCAGAAAAATAACTATCGTTCAAAGGATGAAAGAAATACACATTTGGTCTATTCCTTTCTTTTTTTGTTATTTGTTAAGGATGGGGTAATTAACTTCTCAATTTATTATTCCGAAGGAAGGTTCATAGGAAAAGAATACAAGGGTGATGAAGTCAAATCCTAACATCCACATGAAGATCTTTGATGAACTCCCACCAAGACTAAAGTGAAAAAGGCAAAACTCCCCAAATGAATGACAATGAGCTACAACTTCATATATGCAGTAATTCCCACTTAGGTTTCTTTAGCAGTTCTTCCTTGGGTTGAGCGGAACAACATGTCAGTTCAATCCTACCCCTTTAGGTATAAATGTTACAGGTTATCAGTGTCATACCCATGAAAAATGTTTTTCGAAACACCATTCTTCATCAACAGATGGTACTTGCTTGTGTTTCTATATTGGTGCTTTTGGATCATTATGTCCAACATTTATGATAGGTATGCTCCTGGCAGTAAATATGGATCTTTCTTTGGAAATCTGATGGTCAAATCATGCATGTTGATGGTCAATTTCCTTTCTGTGATTCAACATTTTTATGTAAGGACGCTCGATTGAATTTGCAAACTTAAGAGGACATTGTAATTCTAGTTTTTGAACAAAATGATGTTGGGGTTTGCAAAATGACAATGTTTTTTTCTTGTTACTTGTAGTATACATATGCAGTCGATCATTCTATTCTATTTCTCTAAGAATAAGACTCTCTTAATAAACAACAAATAGTATAAATTTTTTGTATACCAATTTTTCTATGAATTTGGTTTCTGCGTGCATGTACGTGGCTTTTGCCTCACCCGGCATCTGTGATAATTATCTTTCAGAGTTCAGTGATCCAATGCCCTTTCCAATTTTTCCATTAATCATTGTAATTCTACCTTTTTTAGCTTTTCTAAATATATGTGGTGTAACCATTTACTTGTATTGTTAAGCGAGTACAGATCTACAGTGAAATTTATGTACATAGCTTCACCGATCAGTTCCATACCTGAACATCTGGCAGACGTTGGCACCCTTTACATTAACCAAGATCCAGATTCTATGCCTGGTGGTGTCTATCGAAGTAATATCATTTTTAATTCAGGAGCCTATTATGACCTCTATGCCTCATGCTCTGTTTGAAATAATGTTAATTCTAGAATTACAAGCTCTTTTTGTCCTAAAAATACTGTAGCCATCACATAATGTTTTTTTTACTGATAAGCACCGCATATCCCACTTGATAATCAAATTGAACCCACAAAGTCTTGAATGGCTTTTTTGCTTTACAAATTACGTATCAAGCAGTTTGGCTACAAGATCAAGTCTAGAGTACACTGAGATGCATACTTGTTGCTCGCTCATTTCTCACTTGAAGACTGTTCTTTTTTATTTCTCTATTAATTATCTCAGATCTTGTGCAAAAAAAGAACATGTTAATAAATCAGCTCAGTTCCTTCGGATACATAGAGTAACTAACATTTTCTGCATTTTCTGTTATTGCTGCACAGTGCATAGCCTTAATAACATACAGTTTTACGATTCTTAATGACTTCCATTGCTTATATACTCACAGTTTGGAATCTTGTAATCGCCTCATTGTTGTCCTCTGTTTGGTTTAGCTAAATACTGCTAAAATGCTATGATATTATCTTTTGTTGGCAATAGACTTACCGTTTATGGTGCCCTCTAATAATGATTTTGCTCTAACCTTTTCAGCTGCGAAAAAGTTCAGCATTTAAAGGATGAACTCGAGACATGTTGGTGATTGTATTCAACTCCAGGCACATAGTAAATACATTTCATTTTACTTTTTATTCTTGTTGAGCTGGTATGAATATTGGTAGCAGTCTATTTGTTCCCTTGTGCTTGGAAAGTTGCTAAAGAGGACTTATAGAGGTTTGGCACATCCATTAACAATGCTCTTTTCAATTTAGCTGGAGGCGTAATGAATGTCGTTGCTGTTGATGTAATAATAATTATCTCAGGGCAGAGCGACTCTTTTGAATTGTATTTGATGAAGGTTTGGGAAGAAATCGATGACAACTCTCGAGGTTTGGTGTTTCATGGAAACGAGGAGTTGATCTTTCCTTCTTGTTTGGCACAGAATGCTACCACACTTGTCTTGTTATGAAGCTACCTTATGGTATTTGGACATAGCTACATGAATATTTTCCATTCTTGGAACTTTTCTTGAGGGCAATACTAATTGCCATCCATCATTATCTTTACTCTTACGTCTTTTTCAAAATTTCTAGCTTCTCTACTTTTCTATTTGCCTAAAAGATTCTTTTAAACATCATCATCTCTCTCTCTCTCTCTCTCTCTCTCTCTCACAATATATATATATATATATATATATATATATATATATATATATATATATAAGATTTAAGTTTTCATGTTTTTTTTTGTGAACTATCTTTTTTTTTTCTCGTAAAACATATCTTATTTTTAAAAAAATAAGATTATCCTTGATCTCGTCATAATTGCCTTCATCGTATCACGATCGTTATCACTTTTATTCCATTTTTGTTAGTGTGATCGTTATCACTTTCATTCCATTCCTTTTTTTTGTTAGGTTTTTCCTCTGATAAGGAACGAGGGATACATAAGAAAGAAAGGTTAAAGGTTTGACGATCGATGTGAAAGAAAAGAATAGACAACCATGATCTGATCAAAAATGACCATAATAAGGTGGAGACTAAGGGTAAAATGATAAAAATAACTCAAAAAGAATATTCAATGAGAATAAATTAAAAAAACTAAAATAATAAAAAAAATTAAAAAATTAAAAATTACTATATATATTTATTTATATAAACCGCACGCTAGGGACAGGGGTTGAGACCGCTCGTCGCCGCAGCCTACTCTAATATAATCCCGCCGTCTCCTTCCTGTTCCTCTTCTTCCTCCAATATGATTACTTTTCTCCTCTTCAACATGACTATATGAACATCATCATCATAGATATAAACATATGATGATCCAACTATGGATTTCCTTGCTTCAAAGTTCAAATGATTTCATCAAACCATATTATTTCTAGTAATATATCCAGTTCTACAAATAAAAAATTTATAGGATCCAGCTAACAACGAAGAGTCAATAAAGATTGATCAACTGGGAAATTTATCCACAACCGTCACAACGAAATGTTAAATGAGGCATGTATACGATTGCAGCAAAATGACAACCAAAATCGCATGTTCAATTTTAAAGATCACAGATTCTCAACAAATACGATTCCCGACGAGTACACAAACTGCTTGAGAAACATTTGGAAGGAATAAACTTTGGAAGAGAGCATGTACTCACTCTACCGAAACTAAATTTTCTCCAGTGCTAGGATACCGTCTATGTAGACTTCACAAAATTCAGCGAATAGCTAATCCTTGCATTCCTTGTAGTCCTTCAGATATCTTGTTAGCTTGAATTGTGCTAATCCCATTGGCAATATTACGCTGCAACAGCAGTGAGTGGCAGTAAGTAAATAAAAAATGTTTCCTAACTCTATTTGAAAGGAGAAAAACACAGCTCAAACAAAATCGCCACTGTAAAAGTGTGAACGGGCACCTAATGCCCTAAAAATAATACACTACTGTTCAATCATTTAAGATTATACTCGTATAAGGGTACAGAGAGAAGCAAAGAAACTCACCCTCCAAGCACCAAGCTTCAAACGGAGATTTTCCCATTGTGACAGCCCAAATACTCTCTCTGTATGTCGGCTGCATATTAGACAAAAGAAAGGAACCTGTTTCAGTGCTTTAAATTTTACAATATCAACAATTGCAACGTGACTTTATTCCACCATTTCCGAGAATGTCTTAAAATAAGTTTCATTAGATGTAAACCTGACAATCACAACTTGGTTCAATTGATCCATCTTGCAGTCTAATTGTTTCGATGTGATTGCTTTGACAACCCAGTATTCTACCTCGTCATCAGTGATCTGCAGTAAGTAATTGCAACCCCTCAGAACAGCAGTTATTAAGCACTGTGCAAGTATAACAGGTGAGACAAAAAGTTTGATTACCCGAAGTGTGTCCCTGATAAGAGAATATGGGATTTCCCCAGACTCATGGGAACTGAGATCCAGCAACGACATTAACCTCATTTTAGTTATGCAGTCTTCATGAACTAGCCCTGCAGAACAGAAACTGTGAGATAAAGACTCCACAATGCACCCTGACTAAACATGTTCAACATACCATAGCTTTTCAACAAAGTTGAATTCGCAGCATGGAAATCAAAGTAGGCATCGAGCCTTTGGGTGACAAAGATCTTCAAGAGCTGGTAGACCAATGCATACTTCCCATCTTTTTCTAGTTGTGCAACAGCAGGCATATCAAACAAATCACACTGCAAGAACATCACATATTGAGAATAAATTGCATCTACTAGCAAAACAAGATATATACATAAAAATTGGTTAACATCCTCTTTCAAAATGAACAAGGGATTAGTTACTTTTGGAATAACAGAAAATTTTCCCTGATATACTTTTCGGAGCAACAGTTGTGCAACATAAAAAAACATGCAAGATCAATTATTGACCTTAAAACTAACAATTTTATGTCACCGCAGCCAATTGATTTTATTGATCTCAATAACCTATTTAAGCTATTGCTGTTTCCAATAATCTTGAAGCAGTTGAAAATTTAATTTTCACTATAATCAGTAGGTAGGCATATAAACCACTTATCCTTAATTTTTTTTTTTATTTAGCGGACAAAAAAGGGACAGTAAAACAGAATTTTCAAGATTTGCCAATATCTTGTCTATGCATAACCCATGTCCATTCATAAGTCAAGGTGAATGAATCTAAATGTGATCTAGGATGGCATTACATTAGAACGATAGCAATTCACAGTTTCTTTCCTATCTACATAACTAGGAAGTAACTAAGGTGAAGAACTTAAAATAAAAGCCTATCCAGATGCTTTCCCTTCCCTCAGAGACCTGGCTCTCAATAAGTTTAGGGACCTACTACAACACAGCATAGCATAAAAAAGGTACTATTTGAAAAAAGAATATTAGCAATGAATTGAAAGGTTTAGTATAAGAGACAAAGCAAATGTGAAGGGTCAAAGTCAATCAAATTAGGAGATGCCTTGATACAGGAACTTAAAAAACATTAATAGAAAGGGCAAAAAAGAGAAAACAACAGATATCGATTCTATCATACATTAACATGATGACTAGATGTGGAAGTCAGTTGAGTTTTTGCAAATGTCGTTTATAGCTGATATAGCTTGGATATGACAATACTTTAATGGCATAGGCATAAAAGTATTTGGGTCCCAAGTTGTGACCAAAACCATGTTGCATTTGGTTGCAGCTAACATGATATATATTAGCGTATGAGATCAAAACTGAAGTGTAACAGCAGTTGATATGAAGTGTGCATCAAAAGAAAAAATATATATATCTAGGGAATGGATTATTTGAGCAACTTGAATTGGTTGAAGAATCAATTTATTTTTCACTACACTTTGGGGTCGGGCGTCCAGCGAAAAAAGCCCAACTGATATTTCAACGTTGGCCTATAGTCTCAACCAATAATAGCATACTGATTGCAGACCAGCATGTAACATTCCTGCAGTATATGTCATACAAAGCACTATACTTAGGGTAACGACAATAGATTAGCAAAACCAGAATCAGGTGAGAAGATTATTGGCAGTAGATCAGCATAGAAGATGCCATAAATATCTTGATGGTGCTAAAGCAGACACCACGGGCAAGATAAATGGGTGACAAACCACAAGGTCTAGCTCCCATGCAAAGAAGCTTAGACGGAGAGTCTATTGTAGCTTGAGCATGTGATGTGAAGAATCTATATCAAGGTGGAGGCACAGGACAGAAAAGGCACAAGGAATATGGTTGTACTAACATGCACCTCATGTTATGATACTGGTTATGCACAAACACGTAGCCAACAAATTGCATACCACCTGACAGGAGTGAGAGTTCACAAATATGGCATTTGTGTTCTCAAGCCCACCTATCACAGCCACTCTTCAAAGTCAAAATTGTCCATTTAAAAATCGACTAAGATCAGGCCGATGTGAATCTTTACTGGGTCAGCTTGGTTTGGTTTTGGGTCAATTATGTTCTCCACAAGCAGGATCCCATTCCTATGTACTAACCATTATGACCTAAAGTGTGGAATTAAGTTAAAAAAATAATATATATATATGTATTTTTTTTTTTTCTGTTAGCATCAGATATCAAAATGAAAAATGGAAATGTTTAAAATCATGGTAGGAACCCTATCGACAAAAGCCGAACTCTTGGTTAGCTGTGTTAAGACACTCATAAAAGAAGAACCCTAATAAGATCAAAATATGGTGATAATCAAAGGTGAATGAGGTCATTCACAGGCAGGTACAAGATTGATGATTAGGATCATGTTGGTGTCTTCTTGGCAGTTTTTGTGGGATTCTAGATCCTTATCCTTTAGCAAAAAATGTGTAAAGGTTGAAGAAATTATCGTTTTAAGGACGAATTCCTTTATTTTACCATTTCGTTGGTTTTAGTATCTCTTAAAAGACTTGAATATTCAAACCTTCATTTTGAATGCACTACTAAGACCACACTTCTGATGTACCTGAAATATATCAGGAGACTTGACAAATTCTATGATGGCTTGAACAGCTTCTTCTTTGGCTTCATTCATTGTGTAAGCATCCTCACCCGCACCAGAAAAAGTGGCTAAATACCTTGTCAAAAAGGCAAAAGAATCTTTTGCCATGCTGCATGTCATGAAAAATGGAGCATTATGAAAACTGAGGATCAAAGATATGGATGAGAAAAACAATTGGCATTTTATTCTGCACCTCTTGTTATCCTTCAAAATGTTTGAGATGCTACGAAAGAGTTCCCTCTGATCTATTTTTCCAATATTCCATTCTTGTAAGAAGCTGTCAATATTCTTAAATGAAGGAATGATGCTTTCAGCAACTTTCCCACTGGCTACCAAATCAAGCGCCTTTTTATAAACAAAGAACCTGCTATATGGGTTCTCTAGAAGGTTGTAGAGGTTGAATAGACTGCTTCAAACAAGTGGACAAGTAAGGGAGAGTGATACAACAACATAAAGCCCTAAATAAAACAAAGTGAAGAAAGCCTCACATCTTAAGTCGCAAAGCAGGTCTATCAGTTGGTTGTTGTACAACTTTTGAGGATATTAATTTCGCCATCTCCAATGCTTCATCAGGAGTATTTGCTCTTGTGACAAGGTTGCAAGTAACAGTAAAGATACACTCAAGATCTGCAACAAGAAAACAAGTGGAATGGTTTTATTCCTCACCATAAAATCAAAGGCAAAACCTGAATAGCTACCAAGATGATTGAAGAACTCTAGCACCAGTGCTTTGCCTATGCTACTGCATAAGCCAAGCATAATCTTTCTTTAAGAATTTGCCAAGGATGGTCTTAACACTAGTATATAGCAAGATACTGAAAAAAGCTTAAAAAATGTCCTGATAAAGCTTTTTACATATCAGAATAAAACAAATACCAGTGAAGAAGATAAGGAAGCAAGATTCTGCATGGAAAATTATGAATTCGTAATCAACACTATGTTATTTTCTTAGATATTTTAATCATTAGAGTTTCATTCTCAAGAATGTATCGAGTGTTTAAACAGTGAGGATGCGACAAGGAAGAAATAACAAATTTCAAAATTCAGAATTTAAAAGTTATTCTTCACAGTGAGTATGATATATGTGTGTGTATATATATACACACACACACACATATTCTCTCTCTCTCTCTCTCTCTCTCTCTATATATATATATATATATATATATCTCTCTCTATCTCTATATATATATATATATATATAGAGAGAGAGAGAGAGAGAGAGAGAGAGAGAGAAGGTGAAACTGTAAAACAATTAGTAGCAAACTCTAAATTAACAGTAAGTGTGATTTGCTGATAAGTCTAGGTCAGTTAAAATATGAACAATTTTAAAAGATCCATAAAATCTGTTTTCAGATAATTTGATAAAACAGAAGAGGCTTTTAAGTGATGCTTCAAGAGTTCCCTTACCATAATAAAGCAAAACTATCAGGTCCTAAGATGGAGCATTGCACTAACAAAGTAAATAAATAAATAATTACATGGAGAAAGAAAAGACTCAAGGTCAAGAGTCCAACATGTTTGTCAAAGAACTAATTGTTCACCATTTATTTGATTGTAATTTCATACTAAAACGTGATCAAAAGCCAAAGACATTGAACAGATCTGCCAGCCATCAAATCATTCTTACAATCATCAGCAAAGCAAGTTGCAATTGTACCTTTCTCTGACACTCGAGATGTTATCAAGTCGGCCGAAGTTAGGATTAAAGAAACCAAATCCAGCCACCTACTTCTAAACATGAATTCTTCTGCTTCCATACATAATTCACTCACCTGAGTTTCGGCAACCTATCAAGAACAATATGAAACAAACTATCAAATCAAAATTCCTGAACTAGCAAAATGGAACAAGAATCACAGAGCCTGTATACAACACATAAAAATCCACTTGGAACACTTCATAAAAAACGGAAAGTATATGAACTCCAGAAAAAAAAAACTCATTTTAAACAGAATTTGTTCAAGCACAAGGATTAACGTTGTTATCTTTACGTTATTCATCACAAATAAAGTACCTTTCTTTTTCAGAAACCAAAAACGAGATTGGAACGCGAACAATACGTGCAAGAATGATGCCATTCTGATCCATTACTTAAAGCAGAGATCCAACCGGTCACCAAATTAGATCCGGAAAGCATATCATAATTATCGAAAAACGAATGAGCAAAATCCCCCCAGTAGGTGTAAATCTTCTTTACCTCCGGCCCCGCATCGGCCCAGGAGAGCTCGGCAGTAAACCGGATCACGGCGAGCGCTGGATCCTCCTCCGAAGTGGCCACAACAGCCGACATATCGGAAAGCGGGCGACAAGGAGGAGGCGGAGAAGGGGGGCGGGTTCGGGGTCGACACAAGCACTGGGCTCGAAGAGCAAACGGCCGCAAAACCCTAATCAAACGTCCATCGAGCCGATAAAGAGGACTGGATGAACCGCCGGTGAACCGGATGCGGCGAACCAAACGTCACGATTGGGCCGGATTGGGCCGGAGTGGGATCACAAACGCATCGAGTTCCGTCCAATTAACTCCCATGGAAGGGTCCCACGTAGCGACGGCTCTGATTCGGCAACCCAGCTTCGGTTTCAAAGATGTATTAATAATGTAACTAAAATTGAAGGTGTCAGCTAAAGACTTAATTTATCGTTATGTTTGGGGATCGAATATTACTTTCATCACTTATCTTTTGATAAAAAATAATTAAAATTAATTGATGTATTGCTTTATGGATACAAATAATGAGGATCGTGAGATGATAATTTAGTAGTGATAAAGAATTTATCATATCACTATAAGATTGTTTTATAAGGCACATAAACTAAGGTTATGGATGCCGTCTCGCTTGGAGCCAATATGAAGATGCATATTTTTGGACAGTTTTACTCCGCGCAACATTGTTGCTGTAAAATCATAAATGAAAGACATTGTGATACTTCGAATTGATTTATCAAATTAAATATTTTGAATTAATAATTCACACTTATCCAATTAACTTAAGCTAAACATTTTAGTAAGTTATCCGATCATAACACCAACGCTAGTGGGGAAGCTGATGAGAGGGATAAGATGTGGGCAACTGCACAGTGGAGGTCCCAACCACAACCTTCCGATGACGTGAGAGCATCGAGGTGGGTGCCACGTGAAGCAGAAGAATACAGCATGGGGATCCATCGAAGGGTTTGCGTCGTGCATCGCTCCTCGAACGACACCAACAAGCAATCAGTGGTGAGAAGTAGAAGACACATGATAAGACGATTCTGAAGACATTAGCTTTTACCTGATTCCTCACCTCCATTTCTTTTCTCATGCAAGAGAGAATGGAAGTACGAGCAAACAAAACATGCATATAGATGGTATATATCTATCTATCTAACATAGAACATTATCGAGGTGTACAGTAACTTCGATGCGAGATGATGGACTGCGGTGTTCCATGGAACGAGCAGGTTGTTGTTGGCTCAGACAGTGTAGGATTGCTGAATGGTGCCGATGTCCAAGCCCTTCAGCCTCACCACCGACTCCACATGCCCTTTCAGCGTGTTTAGTTCCCTGAGCCTGCCAGTCCAAATTCAAGTCTCAGGGAAAAGCTACAACGATGTCGAGCGGATTTGATTTACAAAATGGATGATTTATCCAAATGGAAGTATCTGCTTCCGATCATCATGCAAGGATCAAGGTTGTATGGGTACAGACTTTGAATGCGAAAGAATATGGGGGAACTATAATCAAGCAGTTTTTTATGATCGGGGTTATCGATTGTACCTTGCAATCTCAGCTCGCCGTTTGGCTTCCTCTGCGATCTGATTCAGTTCGGTTACAGTGGACCTCTCGCTGAACTTGGTATCAGGTGGCTGCAGTCCGTGCAATGTTCTCTGAGCATGAGCCCACCTGAGTTCCCTTTCTTCCTTCCCGAAATCCTTCTTTCTTGTAAAAGCTATCTGCAAGAATAAATGATCCCAACCTTTTCAGAGTCGAGCAGAAAATTTGAACTCAGACGTGTTGTGCCACTGAGTTTCTTGAGTGTGTTACCCTTTGCTCGATGACGAGCTCCCAAGCTTTCCCACTCAGAGCATAGCGTATAAAGAATTTGATGATATCGAGTGGGAAGTAGAATATGAGGTTGTAAAGCCAAATGACCCCAGCCCAGCGCCATCCGATGCCTTTAATGGCAGCAAAGCCCCAATCAGCATATACCGCAATCAGTGTGGCAATCTGCATGAGCACATGGCAGTCGACAGAGGTCATCATAGTAACTGTGATTCATCTCTCTAGCGTATCATGATTGAGGAGAATCAAAACATTACCAGCTGAGCAGCCAAGAAAGCCGTAACAAGCAACAAACCAGGCCGCTCAATGAAGGACCAACTGCGGGATCGTGTCACAAATATGAGTGCCTGACTGATGATGCTGACTTGCAGGTAGATGGCAGAAGCAAGCTTTTGGAAGTCATCCTGTGTTGTCTTCTCAAGGCTTTCGACCTTGAATACCCTCTGCAATTATCAACCAGCAGGAGCATTACACAAAAGATCGTTAACACAAAGGAAGGAAAAAGCAGGACTTCTAGGAGATCTGGGAGTCGGGAGCCCAGAGATTATGTATTCTTAGTTCTTCGGAAAGCATGACTGATTAAACACAATAGTTCACCGGGAAGAAATCAGTGTCATATGCAGCCCAGAAGAAAATGACTGTCATCATTGCTAAGTAGCCACCAAGGATGATTCCCGTTGCAAAAATCTCAGCCAGCTTCCAGCTGTCAGGAAGAGGAGATGGTTTGACCCTGTCCTTTGAGATGGTCATTATGGTACCTGAACATGGTGACGAAGTCATAGTGATTTGGAGAACACTACAAGTATTTGAATGGTCAACCATTGCAACCGGTAGAACTATCCCAATTGTCTGAAGTAAATAAAGGAGTAATTTCACACTGCCTCTTAAGCAAAACAAATGAGGCACAAAAAGGGAGCATTACCATCGTTGAGAACCGCAATGATAAGGACCATGAAGGGTGGAAAGTCGAACTTCCATATGAGTGCAAGCAGCATAAATCCCAGCTGTCCAAATAAACATATGTATCATAAGAATGGTAATCCAACTACCTGGTAAATCTCGTACCATACAAAATGTAATTATCTGTATTATTGGAATGAAACAGAGAGTTTCAAAGTCAATTCACATGATTGTCCATGAGTCAATGTGCTTCAACTTATGCTGCATGGTTCAGTGCAACATGAGGAGCTTAGTAACAGCATAAAATCCATTCAAAGCCAAGAATGTTTTTGAGAAGCCAAGAGAAATTGCCAAGTTCTATTTGAGACCATTAAAAAGTAGCAGAAAGACAACCCGGTTGGTAATTTTGATGCTTGAACAGGACACAACCTCACATAAATGCAATTGCAAGTTTTTTTTGTAGGATCAACCAGGAAAACATACCACAATTCGGATAGTGATGGAGACTGCATATATCTGCAAAAGCATGCAACCACTTTAGTACAGCAGTTTAAGCAAAAACAGGAGATAGATTCAAAGAGTCATTTAGAAAAATCTACTGGTTGCTTATCATAGGCACAACTTACTGTATAATTTTTCATCCTCTGAAAGATCGCACGACTGGTCAAGACAGCACTGATAATGACACTCAGGCCAGGCTCAGTGAGAACAATATCAGAAGCACTACGAGCTGCATCAGTTGCATCTGCAACTGCTATCCCAATATCAGCCTTCTTTAAAGCAGGAGCATCATTTACTCCATCACCAGTCATACCACAAATATGCTTCCTTGCTTGCAAACGCTTAACAATCTCATACTTGTGCTCTGAAAGACCAGGAAGAAGGTATTGACTTTTAAAAATAAGCTAATACTAACTGACTCAAGAAAGTGTATACTGATGACAGTACCTGGAAATACACCAGCAAAGCCATCTGCCTTCTCAATTAATTCATCAACTGGCAAAGCAACAATTGACTCGTCCTTGTTTTGCCCCAATAAAGCTGATGATGGATACATGTTTGTACCCATTCCCAACCGACGTCCTGTTTCTTTTCCTATTGCCAACTGATCACCTGAGTAAACATTATTGCCAATCCAATAATTTTTAGGCACGCTGCTTGTAAAAGATCAGGATTCTCTCCTATCCATATAAAATATTTAAGCTAACCTAAGAAAACCATGATCAAAGAACAACAATGATTAGTCCATCGATGATGAACATAATCAACTCAGGAAAGCAAAACAGTGTTTGTTACACTTTAGGAGATTCATTTGTAGTGTTTTCATTATCTCAGAATATTTTATTTCTCAAGTAGATACTTTCTTTACAAATTCCAGCGATGACCACACAAAGCAATTAATAGATTGCATGGAAGGAAATCAAGACTGATATACAATTATACACTGCCAGGGAAACAGACCTGTGATCATTTTGACATTCACGCCAAGGTTTAGTGCCCTTCGGATTGTCTCTGCACTATCATGCCTAGGGGGGTCAAAAAGCGGCATAAGACCAATGAAGGACCAAGGACCTCCTGGACTCTCTTTCCTTCCATCTGGAACTTCCTGGAAAACAATTGAAATGAATTACCATCAGAAATATGGTCAAAAATATAGAAAAGAAGCATCTCCAGTTTACAACTACGAAAAACAACTATGTATTTGACACTATCTAGTTCACCTGATATGCAACAGCAAGTGATCGAAGCCCACGGTCTGCAAATTTGTCAATCACAGCATGGACTCTACGCTCTATCTCTGACTTATTGTGTGCGAGATTTAGAATCTGTGAGAATTGCATTAAGCAAAATCCCATTATAATACAACCATTGAAGAGTGCAGTGATCACAAATGTCATTGAAAATGTATAGATAATAATACCTGTTCTGGCGCACCTTTGCTGACCCGATACATTTTCCCCTCACTATCAACATAAGTTAAAGCAGTCCTCTTGTCAGTAGGATTAAACGGTAGGAAATGTACTTCTTGAATTCCAGCACGGGCCTTTTAACACAAACAAAAATTCAAGAGAAGTGAATTGAATGCCAATAAAAATATAGATCGGATATAAGCCCAAGCAGTTACAGAATGCAGAAGTTTCAACTGACCTCCCTTGGGTCCGCAAGCATTCCAACTATCGCAGTGTCTATGGCATCTTGATTTTCAGTTCTTGAGGCTCTAGCAGCCATTAGAATCACAGTATCCTGGCTAACATCTCTTGAGAAAACCTAGTAAACAGAATAAATCAGGTGCCACAAACGTTTAGGTGAGAATGTACCAAAAAAGAGGGATTTAGTCAGTATTGGGTGGTATCACATAAGCTAAAAGTCCGTATTTGTCTGACCTCAATAAGGTTCTTGTCCACAGTCAACTTGTTCAAAGTCAGAGTTCCAGTTTTGTCACTACATAGCACATCCATTCCAGCCATTTCTTCTATTGCAGTCATCCTTTTTGTGATTGCTCCCTGCAAGAATTCCAATGTGTCATAACCAACAGAGTCAACAAGATGTTGATCAGCTTAAAAATAGAACCCAGTAGTTTATCTAGGCAATTCCATCAAGCCAATGAGATGTTTTCAGCACTGATTTCTTTCAAGATAAATTCAATATATACAGATGCCCTTCCATTTGTTTCTTGTTAACCTATGAATGAAAAGATTAGCTTGGAAGATCTTCATTCCAATGACAAAAATTTGGCTACATGAACAATCACTGTTACCGATCAAAAACATTGACAGAACAAATTTGTTTGAATTCTCAAATAAGATTTACTCATGCACACCTGCTGAGATAAGCGGTGAGATCCAATTGCCATTGTGACTGACAAAACAGTAGGCATGGCTATTGGAATCCCTCCAATGAGAAGAACCAAAAGATTGTCGATTCCAGGTCGGTAAGCACGATGCTGGATTGGATACATGACAATAATCTCTATGAACATTCCCACCGCAATTGAACATATGCAGAAGTTCCCAATTGCAGTCAACACCTGAATGGCACGCAGATGGCCAGAGCTTGTGAAATGGTTATTTCGACAAAGTCATCAACTGAAATAACAGGAAACTATAACAATATCAAAAGAAGGATAATGAAGCAGCTTACCTTCTGGAAGTGGCCAACTTGGTTTGTGGAATCCACGAGGTGGGCAGCCTTGCCAAAGAATGTATGCACGCCCGTGGCAATAACGACAGCCTCAATCTCACCCTGTTTGCATGTTGAACCAGAATATACACCATCCCCTGGGCCTTTTGTGACCGGCAAAGACTCTCCAGTAAGGGCACTCTGCTCATTAAGTTCGAAGAGCATGAATGGAAGAGCATAAATGGCTTTTGAGCTAAAAATTGTGGAGTACAAATGGCATCACGGCAAGAACCTGATCAATTTTCAAGGGGTCTCCACCGAGGAGTCGGGCATCAGCAGGGATGATATCCCCAAGCTTGATGCTGATGATGTCTCCTGGGACGAGGATTGCCGCTTCCTCCTCGCTCCACTTGCCACCTCTAAGCACCTGTGCGTTCAATACTAACAGGTAAAACCTCAAGTGCGAAAAAATGATGGTCTTTTCTATTCGAACTGCCTTATCCTGCAACAGACAAGACTAAAGGGAGAAACAGAACAACGCAACATTCAAGACCTTGGCTTTAGGGGCGAGGCGAGCCATGAGGGCGGCTGCAGCGTTACCGGCGTTGTTCTCTTCGATGAAGCTGATGGTGGAGTTGATGACGAGCAGAGTGATGATGCCCACAAAGTCCTGCCAATCTGGGGGCTTCCCCTGTTCGACAGAATTCACACGAGCAGCATCAAGTAAAGACAGTAGGAGGAGAAGAAGATGAATTAACAAGACAGACAACAGCAGACCCCTCCGTTGGCGAGGGCGATGGCCATGATGGCGGCGGCCTCCATGACCCAGGAAAGCGGGTTCCACATGAATCCCAAGAACTTGAGGACCTTGCTCTCCTGCGGAAGTAGCACCAAGAAACCGGCTCAAAAACCCACCCCAAAAATCACCAACAACGCATGTTGGAGGCAACAGAGGGGAAAGGAAAGCGAGTGAGAGAGAGAGAGAGAGCCGACCTTCTTCTCCTCGAGCTTGTTGGGGCCGAAGATTTCGAGCCGCTGCTGCGCCTGCTCGGCCGTGAGGCCCTCCCGCCCGCACCGCAGGTTCTCGAACACCTCCTCCAAAGGTATGTTCTCCTGCTCACATCCACCACCATCATCACAAGCTCACAAGAACAATAAAAGCAAGAAGAGAGGGACCAAAGTGTAACCAAATCCACGGCCTCCTTGAGGACAGCCTCCATGTCCACCGACTTATCAGCCATCTCTCTTCCTCCCCCTTCCCCTCCCCTCTCTCTCTCTCTCTCTAGTTCT